CCTGTATGGCCTGAATAGTGTTTGTTTCAGCCTATCTCACTTTGCCTAACCCTAACCCTGTCTCTTATACACATCTAGATGTGTATAAGAGACAGATATTAAATAGATAGATTGATTTGTTTGACAATAAGTTTGACCAACTATAGTAACTCTGAAATCTGGACTAAATGTAGCTAATTATTATTCTGAATATATAATTGAATACCGTGATTTGTTTAACCAAAGGTTAGTAAAGCAATAGTAAGTCTGTAATATGGACCAAGTGTAGCTAATTATTATGTAGAATATATAATCAGGTACATTGATTTGTTTGACAAAAGGTTGTGAAGCTATAGTTAAATGAAAGGTAACAAGTGCTTGCATAATAACTATTGCTTACGTGTATATTTAAATAAGCTTTAAGTTAACATGTTTAATTTCCAAATTAAGATCAGGATTGTTCCATTTTATGTAAAGGGATTCTTTGATTTTCAATTTGATTTCATTGTTATCAATATCCAGTATAGAGAAACATTTCTTATCAGACAACCTTTTACATTTACTGTTTGCGTTAAGGTGTTTAAGTACGTGTGATTTTTTATCCTTTCCAAGATGTTCACCAATCCTCGTAATTAATCTACGGCCTGTATAGCCTATATAACTGGAATTACATCCAGCACATGATTAAGTGTTTAGTGCAAGTACAAACAAAGGTACAAGATTAGTATCAAATATAGAAATGAAGCTAACAAAAACAAAATATCCAAAACAAGTCTACGTTATATTAGGCCTATATTTAAAAAAATGTAAACTTTTCAAAAATTCGGCAAAATTCGGCCAAATATAGTTTGGCCGTGACTTTTCAAATGCTACGGCATGCAAGTTTTTTTATAGCCAGATTTTATGGCCAGATTTGAGGAATCTGGCCGTCAAAAAGGCCAAATGGCAACCCTGGGCCTGTGTGACCCAGCCCAAGGGTTGCCAGCGATAGTCGACAAGCTTCACGGCCAAACCAAGGCAATTCAACAGTTGAAGAATTACCTTGGCCAAACACACGCCATCTCACGGCCAAATTCGGCCAAATTTTTTTTGGATATCGGCCGAAATTCGGCCAGATTTTAATCCAATTAGAAGGCAACAGTGGTACATAATATTCACTTAACATACAAATATTACACGAAAATCAACTGTCATTTGTTTGAAATTGAAGAAATTAAAACGATATACACAGAACAATGTTAATCTTTCACTGTTTTTGTTTTTACAATTAATTAATTAATCACCATAATTAAATGCCCAGCTACATCATAATATTAAATAGGCCTATGTCTTATAGTTGCTAGCATGTAGGCCTATTTATAGTCACATTATTAAGATCGGTCTACATTTATATTTAAATGTATTAAATAACGTAAATTGTAGTCCATCGATAGCAATATTTAAGGGCCTGTTTGTTTATACTCCTGAGTGAAGAGAAGCAAACATAATTCTCGTTTATGAGCATTTTTTTTTTTGTGAACTAACCTTGTGTAACATGATTAAAAGTTAAAAACATTATTATTCTTTCACATTTCCACATCTATTCAAGAAGATGATGATGATAGTGATGATCATGATGATAAGATAA